TATATATATATATATATATATATATATATATATATAATTCTTTTCTTGTAGGTTTTTGAACATATTTAGTAAAAGTACTTTGTGAACATTTCAAGCTTGTAGTACCATTGTATATATATATATAAAATGCTTTGGACAAGCACTAAATCATTACCATATTCATATTTTTTAGTACACATAAATACAAACATCATGCTTTTGCCATTTCTCGAATATAATTACTGTACCATGGTACCCCCACAATACTTTTTTTGTAAATGAGAGCACATTGCTTAGTCATACTCTCTTTTTCTCTCTTCATCTCACTTCTCACTTCATCTCACTTGGGCAGTTCAATAGTCATCTCTAAAACGATCAATAAGTTGTAAAGATCAACAATGTCAGAGAAATTCCCCTTTCTATGACCTATAACTGCACTGCATTGATTGCTTTCATTCCTCTTTTAATGTTTCAATTTGTGATGTGTAAACGCAATATCTGTCGTTCAAATATTGTTTTTGTTCAAGTACAAGTTTTGTTTGCTCCCCCCCCCACCCCCCTTTTTTGGCATGAAAGTGTATGTGTGGTTTCATCGCCCCAGGAATTATAGTAATGACACATCATGTTTGACAGCACGCACAAAATGTGTGCATGTCTGTGTGTGTCGGCCCGTGGGAACCGTCTCATTGTGGAATCTGCAACCGCAGGGCATAAAAAAATAAAAGAGTTGAATGAGAGGGTGAAAGAGAGTGTGTGCCAGTACTGTAACTGACGAATGTTAGAAATCAGTTGATGAGCTCAAGAGACAAATAACATCTCGTCGTGCCACTGAGGTTTCATTATGATTCTTAAATGCAAATCTGCAAGTGATTGCAGAAAGTTTAAGGTTTAAGAAGTCACATACACTCAGCCTAATTTGATTTGAGAACACTTCCTTTTCCCTCTGTTCCTCAAACTCCCTTCCTTCCCATTTGAACACACACATACAGTTTTCACAGGGAGAGAGGGTTTGGTTTTGTATGCACGAGGGTTTTGTGCATTAAAGGTTTACATGCTCAAAAGAAAGAAAGAATGAATGAATGAATAAATAAAAAAGATTGCATTAATATGAAGGAATTTCCTGTTATGATTTTCACAGGTATTTTCCTTATATTTGAAATTACACATTGCATTGTTCACATTATCAGTGCTTTGTTTTTTTTTTGCTTTTCTTAAAAGCAGAATACAATAAGTAAATAAATAAATAAATACTCAGAATTTGTTAATATGAAGGAATTTCCTGTAATGATTTTTCACAGGAATGGTCCTTATATTTTAAATTGCACACTGCATTGTTCACATTTTTATTGTTTTTTATTTCATTAGTTTTTTGTTAAAACTACTTTTCAGAACATTATCAGTAGCTTTTTTGCTTTTCTAATTATTTTTTTCTTACATAACAGCAGAACACAAACAAACAAACAAACAATAAATAAATAGTTAGTCAGTATTTAAGTTTAAATAATTGTATTATTTGAGAAAAAGAGACTTTTCTCCCCCCAAAAATAACAAGAAAATCAGTTGCTTGGGCCAAAATACTGATGTAAAATAATGAATGCAATGCAGTTTAACAGTTAACTTGTTGTCTGTGCAGACTGCGAGTTATTCAGATCAGCTTATTTTAGTCGATTTGTCTGACTTCCGATGGTTTGCATCTCATCAAATGCAACCTAGCAAAAGAAAAACAAGTCCAGTTGACTAGTCAACTCTTCTAGTCAGGTTAACTTGCACAGAGGCCCGTCATGATCAAAGAGCAGAGTTTAAACGCGTCTGTCACCTACAAGTTCCTGAATGAGTGAAGTACTGTAATCACCTGACGAATCTCACACATACACACTGCGAACAAGTCCTCGCATGCCGTCCCTCCCTCCCCTGCCAGAGTTTGAATAATAAAGCTTTATTTGCATTTCTAAAGCTGATGACAGACACAACCCCCATTGGAGAAATCTCAAATCTGAGCTGAGCATGCCTGTACTCTTTACCCTATAACGTGTGTGTGTGTGTGTGTGTAAACACACATTCAGAGACAGAACATCAGGATTCAGGAGAGGCTGCAGGTCTTTACACACACACACACACACACAATGTGTGCTGGTGAGAAAGGAGACGCTTCAAGCTTCATGGCAGGAAACGAGCCCAATTCACATAGAACAGACAGAACAGAGATCTGGGTAACACTTTATTTCGATAGTCCACTTTAGACATTCTATTAATAGTAAGTAACTTTGCAACTACATGTCAACTAGCAGTTAGAAGAGTATTAGACTGTCTGCTTAATATCTTCTAACACTTTCTTTGTCAACTTATTCTACTAACCCTAAACCTACCCTAACAGTCTACTCTGAGAGTTGGTAGACATGTAGTTGCAAATTAATGAGAATTAGGTTTTTTTTTTGCTTTTCTTAAAAGCAGAATACAATAAGTAAATAAATAAATAAATACTCAGAATTTGTTAATATGAAGGAATTTCCTGTAATGATTTTTCACAGGAATGGTCCTTATATTTTAAATTGCACACTGCATTGTTCACATTTTTATTGTTTTTTATTTCATTAGTTTTTTGTTAAAACTACTTTTCAGAACATTATCAGTAGCTTTTTTGCTTTTCTAATTATTTTTTTCTTACATAACAGCAGAACACAAACAAACAAACAAACAATAAATAAATAGTTAGTCAGTATTTAAGTTTAAATAATTGTATTATTTGAGAAAAAGAGACTTTTCTCCCCCCAAAAATAACAAGAAAATCAGTTGCTTGGGCCAAAATACTGATGTAAAATAATGAATGCAATGCAGTTTAACAGTTAACTTGTTGTCTGTGCAGACTGCGAGTTATTCAGATCAGCTTATTTTAGTCGATTTGTCTGACTTCCGATGGTTTGCATCTCATCAAATGCAACCTAGCAAAAGAAAAACAAGTCCAGTTGACTAGTCAACTCTTCTAGTCAGGTTAACTTGCACAGAGGCCCGTCATGATCAAAGAGCAGAGTTTAAACGCGTCTGTCACCTACAAGTTCCTGAATGAGTGAAGTACTGTAATCACCTGACGAATCTCACACATACACACTGCGAACAAGTCCTCGCATGCCGTCCCTCCCTCCCCTGCCAGAGTTTGAATAATAAAGCTTTATTTGCATTTCTAAAGCTGATGACAGACACAACCCCCATTGGAGAAATCTCAAATCTGAGCTGAGCATGCCTGTACTCTTTACCCTATAACACGTGTGTGTGTGTGTGTGTAAACACACATTCAGAGACAGAACATCAGGATTCAGGAGAGGCTGCAGGTCTTTACACACACACACAATGTGTGCTGGTGAGAAAGGAGACGCTTCAAGCTTCATGGCAGGAAACGAGCCCAATTCACATAGAACAGACAGAACAGAGATCTGGGTAACACTTTATTTCGATAGTCCACTTTAGACATTCTATTAATAGTAAGTAACTTTGCAACTACATGTCAACTAGCAGTTAGATGAGAATTAGACTGTCTGCTTAATATCTTCTAACACTTTCTTTGTCAACTTATTCTACTAACCCTAAACCTACCCTAACAGTCTTCTCTGAGAGTTGTTAGACATGTAGTTGCAAATTAATGAGAATTAGTTGACATGTAGTTGACATGTAGTTACAAAGTTACTTATAGTTAATAGAATGTCTAAAGTGGACTATTGAAATAAAGTGTAACTGAGATCTGAACAACTGTAAAATCCTACATGTGTTTATAGTCCTCAATGTTATAATGAAGAGTAGAATGATGCATAATGACCTCAGTTATCATTTGAACTTTCTTTTAAGGCCTTAAAGGAGTAGTTCACCCAAAAATGGACAATTATTGAGAATTGTTACTTCATGGGAAAAGATTTGGAGAAATGTAGCATTACAGCGTCACATGCTCATCAATGGATGCTCTGCAGTGAATGGGTGCCGTCAGAATGAGAGTCCAAACAGCTGATAAAAACATCACAATAATCCACAAGTAATCCACACCACTCCAGTCCACCAGTTAATG